TATATTTTTTTCTAAACAGAATCCGGATGTATATTCTATCTTTCCGTCATTTTCAAAAATAGCAGTTAAGTCATAAACAAGAAAGTTATTAACATTTCTTTGAACGAACATTTTATGATCAGCTGGTACATGCTGGAACGGAACCTGATGTTTGATATGGGATTATATGTGAGGCAGCGTGGTGAAATCAGGCCCTCGTCAATCTTTGGGCATGCAGAGTTATTGGTATCATCTTAAAGCTTGTTCACTTGTTTTTATTTGGATGAAAAAATTATCCATTTATCTTGAATACAAGTCGAGATATTTGTGAAAGAAGGAGGTGGGGGTCACCTGTTCTCAGAGGTAAAATTAGTGAGAAAATGGCCGCCAAAGATTGTTATTTCCTTAGCTTAAGAGTCCGTGGTAACGGAAAATTTACCTTTTTTGTGCCTTTAATCAATTTTTTTCAGAAAAATCCACACAGAAATTAGTTCTTTAATGGGCATAAAAGGTATTGGGCCAAAAAACAAATATTTGAAAAAAATTCACAAACCTGCGGAAAAATACAAGTTTCTTCACTTTGATTATTTTGACGAGAGCCTGATTCCACCACGCTGCCTCACATATGTTTGCTTTGATGACCTCAATTGGTGAGTGCATTCTTATGCATAGTCTATTATTTCACTTTAAAAAAATAGTCACATCTGTTGTTCCCATTTTAAAAAAAAAAGATGGCGTTTAAACAACTTCAACATTTATCTTCTTTTCCATGCTTAGTTGCAAAAATTACTTTTGTTATCAATTGCAAATCTTCGTTAAAATATAAAGTTTCAGCTTTTCATATTGATATGATGGAGATCTCGGCGTTTACTGTTACAATGTAGTTCGCATTTTCGAACGTTGGGACAAACGCAGAAAAATTCGTTCTCACATCAGCGCGTGATGACTTGTAGACAGCCTGTTGTCTGGACTCTGGCCACGGGGGTCACATTAACCTCACGGCTTATTCACTCAGGAAAGTAAAGCAAATGTGACACGATGACCGACTCTATAGTGCGGTCAAAAATGTGTGGCGCAACTTTAGCCCGGTTTCCATGTGTACGTAATGCGTAGTGCGCAATGCGTAATGCGAAATGCGTATTGCCTTTTTCTATGTGTGCGTGTTTCTATGTGTGCGTGTTTCTATGTGTGCGTGTTTCTATGTGTGCCTTTTTCTATGTGTGCGTGTTTCTATGTGTGCGTGTTTCTATGTGTGCGTGTATATTAACGGTCGTGGTCAGCCAGTTTGTTCTTTTAGCCATCTAATTTTCCAGAAATCATCTGTGTCAAAACAGAACCACAACATGACACCAAAAGTAATTGTAAAAATTGTAGCTCTGAAGGCACTAAATAACAAAGCTCTCTCACTCTCTTACTCCTAATTGTTTGTATTTTTTCTATATGCCTCATATAACACATCTGACCCAATTTTCCTCCACTTGAAACATTCTGTACATTATCAGCCATTATTCCCTTCATGCTGTCACATTTATACAAACAATAATCATAGCATAAAAAGTTGTTGTAATCCAAAACAGTCTAAAACACGTCGCGACGGACTTTTGCTGACATCTTGCATTTTTCAGTATAAAAATTACAAGTGTGTAAATGTAGTCAACACTCCATGAGTTCTTCCAATCTTAAAATCCATTCAATGAGTGTAATTAATAGGGCCTTTCATCAAAAGGGAAGCCTGACGAGCCCAGAATAAAATGACACTATTCAAACACCCGAGATGAATAAATTAGAAGAACTTGTGAAATGTTGACTTTATTGACCCCATTATCATCATCATCCTCATCATCATCATCATCGTCATCATCATCATCATCATCATCATCACCATCATCATCATCATCATCATCATCATCATCATCATCATCATCATCATCATCAACAACAACAACAACAACAACAACAACAACAACTACAACAACATCGATAACAACTAATTCTTTAGGCCTAGATCTAGATCTACATGTTTAGAACAAAGTCAGCAGACAACAGAACGGTGTGTTCGCATCTGTTGTTCGTGTGTGGTAATACCAGACATCTACTGGACGAAGACTGTATAGTTGTTTCCCCCTCCCATTGTAGAACGTCAGTAATGCTGTTCCATATATTGGAAATCTTGACAGCATCTTTGTGCTCCTTCCTCGATGGATCAAAAATGGAAAGATTTTGCCTCACAAGATCAATTAATTGATCAAGAACATCATCCAGAACGAAATTCCGTTTCATTTTATTATATTAGCTTGATGAAAACGAAACAGCAGAAACACGTAGTTCTTGTAAATCACCCGCGAATTTCTATCTTCCGGTGTCCGTATAGCTGCGTGAAGCCAAAGATCGTACATAACAAGATGGTCCACTCAGCCAAAAAAGTGTCCGCCTGAAGTCCGCTCATTGCTTCAGATGGCGCTGCAGTCTGTTTTGAAGCTCCCTTTCGTTTCTCCAGAAAAAAGAATAGGAATAGCACCTCTTTGAGTGCGCAGATCGACTTCTGTTCATCAGCTGTTCGGGTTCGTTCAGTGCGGAGTTTCAGGGTGTTTTTTTTTAAATTTTAATGACCGCTCGCCTCTCATTCTAAAGTCAAATTAAACGAAGAAAACTGTCGCCTCTTCCATTTTTTTATTATTTTTTTTGTCAGCGTAACCATTTTTTAAAAAGCGTTCTTACGAAATTTGAATTCTTATTTATTTAAAAAAACTTGATAGTTTCACTTTTTTTTCCACACAAGTAGGGTAACTCTGTTCGCAAAGGGTGCGCATTTGCGAAGAGGGCGCCACCGAATTTTGAGGACACTTTTTTTAATTGGCGCAAAGAGAGGAGTGGACCATCTTGTTATATATGATCATTGGTGAAGCGTATTGAAACGATACCTCGATCGTTCGAATACGCATCACGTATCACGGACAACGCATCACGCACTCAAAATAATATAATACACTTTAGTTGAATTTCCATTTAAACGTTCTTTACGCATTACGCATTGCGCACTATGCATTCCGTACACATGGAAACGTGGCCTTATCCTCAGATATAATATATCTCTTTAACCGGTAAATCAATGTCCCCCACACATTGCACAGCAGTTTGTATTAAACTGTCTTACCTTAACCATATTTTTCCACAACATTTGAGGTTGGATTTGAAAACTTTTATTCACAAATTCGTCTAAAATACTATAAATCTCATCACGCGGAAAATAGGGTTGTTCGCAGCACTTCCCGCTTCTCGCACACTTATTGCATAAAAAAATATGCATATCTTTATACGGCCTACGTCACAGCTCACCAATGGCATTTTAGTGACAAAATTTGTAACAATAAATTAACTTCATAAATCTAGATCTAGATCGAGTAGTGAATACTTTTTTGCACTCAAGGCAAAGGTTCTCAAAACATGAGTTTAATAAGTGCAATGTCGCGATTAGAAAAATATGACTGACTTGCTTTTAAAATCGGTATTGCATCTGCTGTAAACTTTTTTTAAACCGGTAGAAACCACCCATTTAGATTTTTAATTATTATCTATTTATGAATTTTCTAGAATACAGCTAACAGGTGTTTACAAAAATATTGATATGTTAAGACAAATTGTTACAAGTCATTGTGCAAAAGCTGGAAAGTCTATATTTGATATGTTAGAAAATATTCGACAATAAATTGCGCCTTGAATTTTTTCTTACCGCACTATATTCATAATTAGAGGTTGTTGTGTGTGTATGTGTGTGTAAAATGTAAGTCAGTCAGTAAGTCAGTAAGTCAGTCAGTTAGTCAGTCAGTCAGTCAGCCAGTCATAAGTCAGAACCAGCTTTCGTGCAACGATTTTTAATTTTGAATTTGGTCGTTCTTGTTTTCGTCCCACCGAATTTCGTCCCACATTGATTCAATTATTTATAGGCTTACTGTAATTGCCACTCATATTCTAAAGAGATTTTACGTTGCGCGGAGAAAATTCATTGTTAATAATCACATCAACAAGGAGGTAAAAGTATAGTATTTCGTGCAGTCTGAAAATGTGTCCTAAAAGTTTTGCGAAATAAATGTCTCTTGTAAAATAGTTTCGATCAAAACCCATGTGATAAAATTTGTGTTAAATATCTGTTCCAAACCCAGGACAAAACTTTGTACATGGCGCTCATATGACCTTATGCAGTTGCGAGCGCCGTAAAACCCTCTACTAAAAAAACCCCCAAAAAAACAACAATTGTACAGGGTGTCTAAACAAAGAAGACCCCCTTAAAGGGCAATAACTCAGGCATCTTTGTACTAATTTCAAGAAAACTTCCATCAAATAAAATTCAACCTTGAAGACATCAAAACATGGAGAAAATCAATTGATGTGTTCGACAAATATCAGAGTTAAAGAATTTCAACCAATATTGGGTAAGACGCAAAATTTTACTTAACAATTTTTAGCTACAGGGACATGATCGGTATGTTCTGCTTTCTGGACAAGGACGATAAAACCACGAAATTCACATCAGATGGATATCTCATCATGCTGAGAAAGTCTTCTGGAAGTTTTGGGAGAAAGCGTTACGTTATACTGTAGAGGCCTGGTTCCAGTGGGATGGGGCCACACCCCATAGGTCAAGAGCGGCCCTTGTGTGTTTGTAAGAAAGGTTTAGAGAGCGCCTTATAAGCCATATGTTTACTAATGAAGGGTCACCACATTTCCCCTAACTTTAGCCCCTTCAATTATTACCCCGTGTTTTTTTTCTTGTTTTTTGTTTGTTTGTTTGTTTGTTTGTTTTTTGTTTTGTTGTTGTTTTTTGTGGAGCTTTGTTGGTTGTGTGTTGTACAAGGGGTAATCAGCTTTCCATTAAAAAAATAATCATAAACAATAGATTATTTACAGATAAAACGCTCTTCCTATTTCACACCCTCTCCTCTCCTTCAGCACTCAACCCCACGTTTCTAGCCTACTCTATTCTCCAATCAATGCTCCAATCATTTCACTGCAGCAGTTCCAGCCCTGCCTTCCGAAGGAGGAGCCTCTGACGTTGTACAAATAAATACGCTCCATTGGCTTCCGTTTCGAGAAGGGCTCCGTGTCCTTTGCTTCCCCTGTGAGTCTTCTTCTTCCCCGAGAGGTGAGTTCTACTTGGTACGTTCAAACAGATGTTCTCATCAGGGGCGGCTCGTGGGGCTAAAACTAAAAAGTGAGCGTGCACAATTAAGCTATAGCGGGTTGAAGATAGTCCGATGGGCTGTTCAGCATGCATTTCCTTTCAAAGTTGAAGGAGTGTAATAGTAGTATATATTAGTAATAGTGTTTTCCTCTCTTTTTTTTTTTGGCGTAGTGGGTGCTGAAAGCTCTCGTAAAAAGACCGTCATTAACACATAGTAACTCGTTGATGTACTGACTGGTTGATGTTGTTTTTATTTATTTACGTCTTTTCTTCACCATTCGGCCGGCACCTGTTAACAGAGAATGATTATTCAAGCAGGTTTAAGTTGATAAATGAACACACGTTTTTACAGGGTCCAATGCTGCATGTCCACTCAGCAATTCTAATTGATATAGAATAAGGAGATGTGTTTGTTTCTCGCAAGCAATATCCACGTCCAACCTATAATTTACATAACTGAGACACACACACACACACACACACACACACACACACACACACACACACAAACACACACAAATACACACACACACACAGAGTGAGAGAGAGAGGGGGGAGACAGAGCGACAATCTGAGAGAGAGAGAGATAGACAAACACACACACATACACACACACATACACAGAGAGAGAGAGAGAGAGAGAGAGAGAGAGAGAGAGAGAGAGAGAGAGAGAGAGAGAGAGAACGAGAGAGAGAGAGAGAGGGGGGGGGAAGAGTTACCTTAAATGAGACCAACATCTCAACAACAACAAATATATCAACAACGGTTTTACAAGTTCTTTATGTGATCAACTGTTCTCTGTGACTGTGAATGCTGGACAATCGAATTGCTTAATATAGTGAAACTGAACAAGGTGTTATAGAAAAGGGGTATCTTGGGAAACTCATGAGAATTTCATGTAAGGAGATGAAATCAAATGAATTGGTTCTGATAAAAGAATCCCATATGAGTCGGGCACGAGTAAAACAATAACGTAGGGGAATTGCAGGCTTTCAACATCTTGCTCTTACTGGAAAAATAAAAGGGAGAAAATGGGAAAGGTAGATCAAGAACAGAGAACGTAAACGTACAGTAGATGGGTAAGGGGAAAAGGCTCGAATCCTGTATGCTTTATGGGAGCATAATTTTAGCAGACAAGTGTTCTCAAGTAGTGAACTGAAGTCGTTGATATCTGTTTCAGATTTGGCCCTTGAAGGAAAAGGTAGGGTAGTATTTCTGTTTTGAATTTCCATTATAATTAATATTTATGAATGATGACAATAAAGTTCACTTCTATTTTTATAGCACCCACTCACTGTGTGGCTCTGGACGCTTCACACAAAAAAATGTTTCGGAAGCTAACACAAAGCCAGGTTTCACACATATAAGCCCATTCATCACAGTACAACAGTCCTTTCAAATGTGCATCATTAATACAATCGTAATAATAAGCCGAATTCCGACAAAAGAACACCAACTCGAAAAACACAATAACGTGGCGATTATTTGTCACTTGTAGTTGGAGGAAGAATAAAACTAGATAAAAATCAGATTCAAACAAATGTGTCTTTAGACCAGTTTTGAATGTCATCAACGTACGTGCCTCTCTTAAATGCAGTTGGGAGAAGGGATCCGAGTGGGTGGAATTCTACATTTGCTTTATTGTGAGGGAAAAGCTGACCTAAAATCAAGCAAGGCACACGGGAAACCCCACAGAAAGACAGTCTGCACCGTTTGAACTCTCTGTTAACGTATGATGGTAAGTCTTCTCTCACCACTGGTCATCTGCATCGATTTTTGTTTCTTCTTAGGAGACGAAAAGGACGATGAAAATGATACTTGTGTTCTCCGTCGTGACCATCTTTGCATTGTCAAATGCCTGCCCAGGTAAGCATGATGATGATGATGATGATGATGATGATGATGATGATGATGATGATGATGATGGTGGTGGTGGTGATGTCAAAATCTAATGATTATTATAAAAGGCCAGTGATGTTCTCCATTTCTGTGAATGTTCTGTATGTGCAAATTTTCCATGAGACCATGCAAAAACATGAAATTCAACATTAATTTTATCAAAACCGGGTAATAAACAAGGGAGTCTTGATGTTTCTAAACGTTCATTGACTTTTTAAAAGAAAAATTGTTTACGCGATACACGTGTAAAAAATTGCTTTATCTTTTGCCCCAGTTCACGAAAGTTAAGAAACATTCAGTCCACAACGACATTAGAATAAATATGTGTTACGAATCAGACGCTCGTCAATTGTTGCGTATGTGGAGTTATTAGTATCATCTTAAATCTTGTTCGTTTGTCTTGCACATGGCTTAAAGAATTCCCATCTGTCTTGAATAGAAGTCAAATTATATGGAAAGAGATGGGGGTCACCTGATGTCAAATGTAATTTAAGAGAGAAAATAACCGCCCAAATGTGGTGACTTCCAAAGCTTATAGTCCTTAGAAACTGCAAAGTTACAGTTTCTGTGCCTTTGACCAACATTTTTCAGTACTATTCCCATATAAATGTGTTTTTAAATCGGCATTAAAGTTGTTAGCAAAAAGAAAACAACAACAGAAAATGAAAATTTGAAACCAAACTCCCCAACTTGCATAAAAATGAAAATTTCTTTGATTTCATTACTTTGACGAGAGCCTGATTTCAATCAAATGCTTTTTTATAACCTCCTCGCTGGACATCCATCTGATCTCGAAGGTATCCCAAGGACCTATTCTATTAAAAACACCCTTGAGGTATCCCCATAAATGGAAGTCCAACGAAAAGAGTTTGAGTCGAGAGTGATTAAAGTGATTCTGGATCCACTCAATGAGTTGAGCTGCGATGTGTGGATTTATGCCACCCCCTCTTGTTGAAACCACTGTCGTTTCCACTTCTTAGGTCCAACAGAATAAGAATCTTCAGATAACACTCTGCTGTCAATGTTACTGTTGCGTTCATCCATAATCCAGAACGGTCCAACGAGTCCTTGTTCACTTTGGTGTGGCACACGCTGTCGCCATCTGTGTGTCTTACAATGTTGTCTGGTCTTTCTGAACTCCACTGAATGTAATTTCTTGTGTTCATTTTTCGGTTCGGGTAAAAGACGGTTCCATTTTAAAAAAACACTCTTTCCATGAATGAATCATCATTCGCACGACACCTAAAAAACCATAGGCTCATCTTGACACTTTTCTTGGCGTCGTAACCAGAAATGCCTCAGTATAATGTTGAAAAACGATGTATTTCTTCACATCGAGTTCGAGTCTCAAAATTCTGTGAACTGAAGTTTTTGAAAGATGGAATAAAAAATCAGGCGGCGAATTGACTACTTTGGTGTGGCTTCCTCAGAGAAGAGCGACTTAGAAACGAAAAGCGGGAGGCCAAGTGAAAAAACAACAACAAACAAACAAACAAACAAACAAACAAAACAACCGAACTGACCAAAATGCATGCACCCTTCGCGAGATTGTCGGTAAAGCGACGAGTTTAATATTAAAAAAGAGATAACCACAAAGCGAGCATATCTAAGTAATACACAAAAAGGCGGAACCATTTCTCACTTTCATTTTATTTTAAACGATCGTGTCTGTGAAGAGATGTCTCTGTTGTATAAAGCCGAGCAAGCATATTTTTAATTTTCACTCATCTGAGTGCTCGACACACAATTCCACTTTTTGCGTGAGAGCACTTGTGATACCTGTAGATTATGCTGGATAAAACACAAAGACGCTGAAGACAGCAAGGACGCTGATAGAAGAAGATGACAATAAGAAAAGAATAGCAATAATCGTGATGTTTACAATGACGTCGATGACGATGAAAGACGAGAGCGGAGACAACAAAAATGACGATGAAACTTAATAGCTTATCTTACGACAATAAAACTGGAACCAAAAAACTATAATCCGTTCACTAATCTAATCCCAATCAATTCTATTCCCATGTAACCGACGCAAGAAGAATCTCTACGCGCACTGGTCAAATATGAAGTGGCCCAGGTAGAGAACAGGATAGTTAAAAGACTGGAAGCCTTGGTCAATAGACAGAATGTGCAGACCGGAGTCAGTGGTGCTACCTTCTGCTCGGCAACGGTGAGTGAGCGACAACACGGGAGTGAGTGCATGGGTGGTCCGGTGGGTTGGGGGGAGGGGGTATTTTATTTTGCTGAGTGTTTTAGCACGCTTTGCAGCTGCATAAGGTCATAGTAATAATGAGCGCGCGAGACATATATCAATAAAGCATTTTCGGTTTGGTAGGAATTAATTTTTAATTGTGCTCGTGTGCCGGCCGAAGCCTATTCTTATCGATTTTAGGATCACCAAGGGATCTTTAACATGCGCAACTTGCACGCAAGACCTATGAGATTGTTTTTGGCCCTTATCCGAGAGGGCTAGGTGGTAGATCTTACCTACCCTAAGATCAGGGATGTGGCTGAAAGACAGCAGTAAGAAGGAGAATCAGGAGTAGCAGTAGAAAGAGTTAGGAGCCCAGAGGAAAAAGGGGGGGGGGCGAAAGTGGAGATGAAAGCAGATGACACAGAATGATTAAAGAGCGGGAAATGAGGTGAAAAGAGAAAACATTTTAAAAGATAATTTTCCATCTCTGTCAGGTTTCGAACCAGGGACCTATTGAATGAGAGGCCAACACCGTAACTTCCAGACCACGAGAGCCCCCTGGTAGGGGAGATCGTTTCGATCTGAGAACTGAGATTTTAGTAAGCGTTTTACAGCACTTGCAGCGCGATTGGGTCACATAGATGTCAAAGACGTGTTACAAGGATGTGACAAACGCAAGGGACAAGAGAGATAACGACGATAGATGTTTGATAGGAAAGAAGGAGCAAATCGCACGAGAGCACCTGCCAACCGGTGTTTGCTTCTCATTCAATAGGTCCTGAGGTAGAGACCTGACAGTGAAGGAAAATAATTTTCTTCTCTAAAAATGTTCTCTTTTCACCCCCTTCCCTGCTTTCTAACCACGTTCTATCGTCTGCTTTCATTCTCACTTTTTGAATTAATTTCTACCAAACTATAAATGTTTAATGTGTCTCGCGCGCTCATATGACCTAATGCAGTTGCGAGCGCCGTAAAACACTAACTAAAGCACACCAAAAAAAAAGACACTGATCTTACCATAATCTGTGAAATCTCGTGTAGAATCTGGTAACTCAGTTCTCAATAACATACAAACAGAACTAAAGAATAAACTGCAAAGACCCCAAAGCCAAACTGCAAGCGTTGGTCACTAAAGGTCTATTATTGAGGTATTTCTCTTTCTCTTTGTCCGTCTTTCTGATCTACACTTTTCTGCCAGCCTCTGTGTCTCCATATTCTTTCTTCTCTCCAATAGCATGAAAAAACAAACAACCTTTCCAAGCCGGGAGACGAACCCCAGTCTTTTGCGTAACAGGCGCGGAGATACTTACCTCTATGGCTACCAAGGACACCTTACTTTTATTGCCATAAAGATATATATCAGAATAATTGACGAAATGGTTCTTTCACCAATCTCAGCTTGAGCACGTTCAGGACACATTCAGCAGCGTGAAGCAAGGTGAGGAGAAAAGTCGTGTGTCGGTCCGTTCATTAGCGTGTCTTGCCAGGCTAAAGGATCGCTGACCTGAGATCTACGTATTATGATTGGTGAAAAGGGCATAGAATAACAACCCCCCCCCCCCCAAAAAAAAACAACAACAAACAAACAAACATGTAAGAGTCTATTACTATACAATACATGACTACGGATTGCCTAAAACTGCACTCTGTTTTCAGTGTTATTAGGATGCAATAATATTTTTCGTTTTCCGAACCTTTATGTTAAAACAATTTGGAATTAGTATCTTCTTCTTCTTCTTCTTCTTCTTCTTCTTCTTCTTCTTCTTCTTCTTCTTCTTCTTCTTCTTCTTCTTCTTCTTCTTCTTCTTCTTCTTCTTCTTCTTCTTCTTCTTCTTCTTCTTCTTTTCTTCTTCTTCTTCTTCTTCTTTATTATTATTATTATTATTATTATTATTATTATTATTATTATTATCATTATCATCATCATTAATATCATCATCATCATCACCATCATCATCATCCTTATTATTATCATTATTATTATTTTTTATTTTTTATTTTTTTAAATTATTATTATTATTATTATATTTTTAGTACTTTATTATTACAATTATTATTAAGGGGGCTCTCGTGGCCTAGAGGTTAAGGTGTTGGCATCTCATTCAAAAGGTCCCGGTTTCGAATCCGGGTCATCATCATCATCCGGTGCCTTGCCGACTGGCGTGGGCGATCATGGACCTCCACTTCCATCTGTCTTTCGAAGCAGCAATGGTGTCTGTTGTTCTTGCTGCTCCCAGCCATGTTGTCATCTTGTCCAGTATCTTTTCCCTCTGTCTGCCTCTACCTCTCTTTCCATCAAACTTTCCTGTTGTTACAATGTTCTCTAATGCTTCTTTCCGCATTGTGTGTCCGAAAAAATTTGCCTGTCGTTTTCTTATATTCGTGATAAGTTGTTTTCTATAATTTGCTTCAACCAGGACTTCTTCATTTGTTTTTCTAGCTGTCCATGGGATACGTAGCATGCGTCTCATGAACCACAACTCTGCCGCAACAATTGTTTTTTCCAGCTGTTTATTGATTGTCCATGCTTCGCACCCGTATAATAGGATTGGCTCGATGTAGCTTTTCATTACTCTTTTCCTCATTTCCAGTGACAGATTGATGTTTGTTAGTATCTGTTTCATCTTGTGGAAGGTTGCTTTTGCTTGGCAAATGCGGCTTTTAATTTCGGTGTGACATCTACCATCTGATGATATAATGGTCCCCAAATATCTAAAATGTTGTACTTGCTTGAGGGTGGTATCATTGATTTTGATATTGCATGTTGGGATTGGAGTATTTCTGCTTATCACCATCGTTTCGGTTTTCTTGATGTTTAGGTTTAAGCCCATGTTGTCACTCTCTTGTACGATGACATTTAATAGATTCTGCAGGTGTTCTTCATCTTCTGCTATTAGGACTGTGTCATCTGCATATCTTAAATTGTTTATATTATGTCCCCCTATCGAGATACCAGGCATTTCTTCTATGTGTCTCATGATATTTTCACTATACAGGGAGAACAAGTCTGGAGAAAGTACACATCCTTGTCTGACTCCTCTTTTAATCTGTATGTATTCGCTGATGTCGTTTTCTATTCTCATTGCAGCCGTTTGATCCCAGTACATGTTTTTGATAATCCGTAAGTCCTTCCCGTCGAATCCGGGTAGCGACCGAAAAATTTTCTTCTCTAAATTTGTCTCCTTTCACCTCATTTCTTGCTCTCTAGCAATGTTCTGTCGTCTGCTTTCGTCTCCTCTTTCTGCCCCCACCCCCTCACCTCCTTTGCCCCTTCCTCTGGGCTCCTGATTCTTTCCTGCAGCCTTTCTACTGCTTCTCCTTCGCTTCTTCTAACTGCTGTCTTTCAGCCACACCCCTGATCTTCGGGTAGGAAAGATCTACACCTAGCCTTCTCGGACAAGGGCGAAAAATCTCGGAGGGCCCGTGTGCAAGTTGCGCACGTTAAAGATCCCTTGGTGGTCTAAAATCGATAAGAGTAGGCTTCGGCCGTCACCCGGTCAAAATTCAAAATTTCCTACCAACTGAAAACATTAGGTGTGTCCCGCGCGCTCATATGGCCTTATGCAGTTGCGAGCGCCGTAAAACACTTTACAAAAACAAACAATTATTATTATTATTATTATTATTATTATTATTATTATTATTATTATTATTATTATTATTATTATTATTATTATTATTGTTATTATTATCATCATCATCATTATTATTATTACATTTATATTTATTATTATATTTATTATTATTATTATTATTATTGCTATTATTATTATTCTCATTGTTATTGTTAACATTATTAACATTATCATCATTATTATTATTTTGTCATCATCATCGTTATGTGTGTAATCTCCGTGAACAGCAGTGGCGTCGGTAGCCTAGTGGTTAGGCTACCGGACTCGTAATCGTTAGATTGCGGGTTCGGGGGTTCGAGTCTCAGCTCGGTCCGACGTTGTGTCCTTGGGAAAGGCACTTTACACGAACTTCCCACTTGGCTCGGTCCTATCGGAGACGGACGTTAAACTAGGAAGTCCAGCCCCTTAAATAACCTAATAGTGTTGATAGGGGTGTTAAACCCATACCATTTCACCATTTTTTTTTCCTTGAACAACTGCAGTCCAGTTGGGGCCACCCGTTTGACGTGTTCGGGAGAGGCGCCCAGCACTTCTTGGCTTTCCGCGGAACCGCTGGTGTGGGCCACTCGGTCTATGACGCTTACATCGGAGACTACAACAAGAAGTCACCAAGGCGGAACATTGAACCGTGCTGCACACAGGTGAGATATTGGGTGGAAATGTGACGGTCTACTCCTACTCTACTGGAGCCCATGATAGGCCACTAAACATTGCTCGTTTACCCCGGTCTCCCTCTTCTTTTTCATCCTTTTGCACACATACAGGCTTGGGACTGTCACTGGCGGTATTAGAAGATTTCTTGAAAGAAATTCACCAGGGTGTGGGAGTGATAGTATAAAATTACCCAATGCAGGCATTATCATGGCAGACCTTCAAGTCACTCAGGAAGGCCTTTAGGTATGCCGTATTATCGCGTTAGACCGTCTGGTAGACCTTAGTCAGTAAGGCGGGACCTTCTGTAGACTGTAAAGCGGTTTTTTCTTTAGTTTTAGTAAGAGTTTTACAGCACTTGCAGCACAATAAGGTTATATAAGTGCCGAAGATTAGAGGTGTTACAAGAGAGTAACAAACACAAAAAGAAGGAGGAGAGATCAAAATGATAGATGTTTGATGAGGAAAAATGAGCAAACCACACCAGAGCACCCACCACCCACCCATCCGTTAAGTCCGTTAAGTGGACTAGCACTAGATGTTCTCTGTCGTGAAAGTTTCACGTAACAAAATACTGTTATCATACCGTTAGTATCATTATGATTTCTTTGAACACGCTGATCCTGCGTGGAAATCACAATTTTCTCGAAGCTGAAAGACATTTCGTACTGTAAAATTAATTAAGGGAAGACCCGGGTCGGCGATCCCATAGAATATCGATGAAATTTTTCAAACTATCGAACTTTTATTTTTTGCGGAAAAACATCCTTTGACATCTGCTGTTCTATCGGGTATGACGAAACTGTTGGAAAAACATCCTAAATGACCTAAAAGGGCTTTCGAAAAGTGCATATTGCACTAAAAATCCTTTAAATTCCTGTTATTTCTGTTTTTCTCAAAATTTGCTTTTTGACATTATTATGTGACCTCCTTGGTGCAAGGAGTTTTCAATCACTACTGAAGCTAGAAGCTTCAAATTTGGCGCACATGAGCTTTAAGATATATATACTAGGGATATATATGAGGAAATTGGGAATATTGGTAGCTTGTGGAAATATTCAAATTTTTTATAACATATGCTCCAAAATTTAGTCAAATGACTCTCGGGACTCCATTGACTTTAGGCTCACTTTTTTATTTATAAAGATAGGTCAAAATCCTCACACGGATCCACAGTCCATATAGGTTTGTACTTGTGTTCCAAACTTCAGGCTGTTGTTTCAATATTTGTCACAACGCGGAGTAATCAGGCTCTGGTCAATTTTCGGGCATGTAAAAATATTGGTATTATTTTAAAGCTTGTTTGTTTGTCTTGTTTAGGATGAAAACAAGTCCATTTATCTTGAACACAAGTCGAGATATCTGCGAATGAAGGAGTTGGGGGTCACTTGGTTTCAGAGGTAAAATTAGTGAGAAAATGGTTTCCAAAGTTTAGTTATTTCCTTTGCTTGAGAGTCCTTGGAAACTGAAAATGTACATTTTTTGTGCTTTTAATTCTAGGGTTTTCAGTAAAATCCTCATCAAAATGTGTTCTTTAATGAGCTTGAAACGTGTTGAGCCAAAAAACAAAGTTTCGATAAAAATTCACAAACCTGCAGAAAAACGCCAGTTTCATCACTTTAATTATTTCGACGGGCTCCTGATTTCATCACGCTGCCTCATATATTTTCTATGAATTCTTCCACACTAAGAAAATGTTTTGAAAATCAAAGATGGCGGCTCAGAGACCCATTTTTCAGAAGAAAAAAATCAACAAATTAACCCTTATTACATCCTATTTATCTATGAACTTCTTGCACAATTACATGAAAGTGAATAAAAGTCATTCGTTTAGAAAATTGTTCCAAGAGTGTACGTCTCCCCTTAAAGTGCGGCCTAAAATGCACACACTTTTTGATTTAGCTTCTTCAGAGGTTGCAGGACATGTTTTCTCTGAATGCCGTTGTTTTTGCAGGCAATAAACTTTCCAACTTAAGCCAGCCGAAATCACTCAGGGTTAAAAGATTTTCGCAGGAGCCCAAACAATAAACTCAGATCTCCTTGATTGATTGAAAATAGTTTACGCACCCATCGACCACATTTTGATCGTTTAGGAACAGGAGGCTGGCTGTTTAGACCTTGTCTGTCAGGGCCAAGCCGGGATGAATAGGACACAACATCCCCGCCAGAAGACGGAGATAAGATAAGATAAGATAAGATACATCTTTATTGTCCAGATCCTGGCACATTGGTTTGGTGTTTCACCACATGTACACACACACACACACACACACACACACACACACACACACACACACACACACACACACACACACACACACGCGCGCGCGCTCTCGCGCACACACACACACGCGCGCTCTCGCGCACACACACACACGCGCACACACATGCACACAGGTACTGGTACTGGACATCATAACTTCCAATTGAGGCATTCGAACCACGCTCTCTGTGTACAACAGTAAACAGCCACTACATTTACGCCACAGACAGGGATCATCAACAATTCAAATCAATGTTATCAAGACAGCGTTTCAGACATAATTTGGTTGACTTAAATGATTGTTAATCAAGTTCTCTCTCAAAGGAATATTGTTCATTTTTCAGGTAAACGGATCACTTCCTTGCTCTGGGCATTACCGTAATGCGGCCATCTTGAATAACTGGCAGAATATCGAAGAAGTGGTTGTGGCTCTGTATGACCGAGGTGTTCTCAAACAGTCCTTGAGGTTTGATGCCGCCGGCACAACATATTTGTCCTGGTTCAGTGCTGACAAACTCAAGAACTCTGGAAAGTGGCGAGATCTGAAGAGCAAGACCACCAACTACTTCTCCATTGCTGGGCATCTGAGCTATAAACGCCGCTTCTACATTAACCATAAACTCCATGGATGTAAGCATGATGATGGTTGGTTCATGGCCATGGATAAAGCTCGGCCTCCATGCCCTTATGAAAGGCATTCATCTTTCCCACAGTTCTTATACAGCAGTGGCAACGCACGCGCGCTCTGGTCTACCAGTGGGGACACTGTTCAAGCTGACGTCATGGCAATTTTCGTCAAGCCATACAACGGCTGTAACAACCGCTAACGTCTTAAAAGTGTAACAGCATTTTTTGGATTTTGTTATTATTCTTGTTTTTTGTTGCTGTTGTTGCTGTTGTTGCTGTTGTTTATATTGTTTTCTTTTTGTTGTTGTTTTTTTTTGGTGGTGGTGGTGATGGTGTTTTGTTTTACTTTAAAATGTAATGAAGGAAAACACTCTCTTTGTTGAACAATGTGATTAGTGAAAGAAAGTAATGACCTTTGACTTAAAAGAATAAACGAAATACATTTAATCATAAGAAGTAAGTTAACTGTTTTCTGTCTAAATCACATTATGGCATCCTGAGAAAGATGTTACAGAATCGGTGTGCATAAAGGACTGTTACAAGTTCAATATCTCGATACATAAACATTTTAAATCTGTAAAATGTAACCTTTTGAGCAAAGAAATCAGAGACATGAATGAAAGAACAAAATTATCATTCAGTTCATAAATGCAGAGCAAGACTCAATGTTGCGTTGATCCTGGGGTTTTTTTTGTTTGTTTTTTGTTGTTGTTGTTGTTTTGTTCAGGTTGTACTTTACAAAAAGACACCCCCCCACATTTGTTTCGTTTCCCTCTTTCCTGGCCACTGATGTATGCATGTCTCATGAATTGTACTGGCTGAAAGACCTCGTAAAGGTTACGTACCTCTAAAATATGGCGTGCATCCACTTTTATGATGAAAAAACACACTTCTGCGTCTGTTCTATTTACGTTGGTCTATTTATGTGGCGTATTTTCAGCCATCGATCAGACTAAAATAGTTTTCAAAGTATTAATGGATAAAAGTACTTTAAGTTAGGAAGACCTGGATGCAGTTTGACGGGTGACAAAGCAATTTACAACACAGGAACCGTAGAATGAAACTCTAAACCATACAAGTTTGCTTCAAAGTGAAATCCCATTGGAGCGACATAATTATGTTGAAATGAGCTTTAAAGCCAATTATTTTTATATCATTTCTCTTCCCTTTAGTGGGTTCTCCAGAAACACGTGCCGTTACAGAAAAATGTAAAGAAATAGACATGGACGTTGTTGTAAACTTCGCCCACGACGTTGGGAATTTAGTCTGAGCAGCTGTCTGTGGATTTTTGTCACACAATGTGTACCTCAGTTGTGGATGTGTACGTCTGGGGCAGCTTGCCCCAATGAAGAAATATTCACAGGAAAGGCACTTCTTCTATGACCGGGCTGCGTGTCTGAGAGTTCATCTTCCGGATCCGGACGTTTCTTCGTAGAATCTCCTCGTAGCTCAGCTCTCCTCCGTCCAAGCTCTCCACGCTCAAGGAAGGTCATATACCGGAAGCGGAAAGAAAGAGAGGGCGTTCTTCCCGTGAAGTGGAGGCGTGGTTGGGGAGAATGTTGGTTTCTTAAACTAGAACTGGGAGCCGAGGTCACTCTCATACTTAGAGGCCATTCAATCTAAGAACAATGAAAGGCTATAATAAAGCAAAGTCAAATAAAGAAGCGTTATCATTGCAAATAACTTGCTCCTCACGAGGAAATGTCCGAAGTTATAATCAGAACTCTTAAGAGACTATTGTGATTTTGGCAGCTAACTGAAATGAAATCATTATTTGTAGCTAGGAACTAGAAAGAAAGGAGTGAGGTTGATTTTTCCGTACCGTTTTAAGTTTGACAAAAAAGAAAACTTCTGTTACACAAAACTGATTTTCAACCAAGTCAGAGGTGTTGCATACGAGAAAATGAAGACAACTTTTTTCGGGGGGGGGGGGTGTCAGATTGTTTTTAAGGGGAACTGAAATATAAAAAGGAACACAAAACCCTGCCGTTGGGAACAAGTGGTATACTGCTCTCACACGCTTCAGTTAGTTCAAACTATGATTTAATCATAGCATGGATCTTTGACGAAAACTTCAGAAGAGACAGGTTGACAGAGCTGTCATGAGATACTGGTGATCATTAGAGCAGCTTTGACTGTATACAATTTACAAGACGATTCAACCGTGGAATCTTTACAAGAATCAGTTGTCTTTATCGATAAATCCACAAGGATCGTTTATTTGCACTTCCCTAGAGGAGAACGCCATGTTCAGGACGGTATCTACTGGGGGTTGCCCACACGGCGACGCATCCTTAGTAGAGACTGAGAGGGTAGGGGAGGGGCTGGTGGAAGAGCGTGGAGGGTAAGGGAGGGGATGGTGGAAGAGAATGAGAGGGTAAGGCAGGAGATGGTGGAAGAGCATGAGAGGATAGAGGAGGGGATGGTGGAAGAGAATTAGACGGTAAGGGAGGGGATGGTGGAAGAGCATGAGAGGGTAAGGGAAGGGGATGGTGGAAGAGTGTGAGAGGGTAAGGGAGGAGATGGTGGAAGAGCATGAGAGGGTAGAGGGGGGATGTTGGAAGAAAATGAGAGGGTAGTGGGGGATGGTGGAAGAGCATGAGAGGGTAGGGGAGGGGATGGTGGAAGAGTTTGAGGGGATAGAGGAGGGGATGGTGGAAGAGAATGAGAGGGTAAGGGAGGAGATGGTGGAAGAGCATGAGAGGGTAGAGGAGGGGATGGTGGAAGAGAATTAGACGGTAAGGGAGGGGATGGTGGAAGAGCATGAAAGGGTAGGGGAGGGGATGGTGGAAGAGTGTGAGAGGGTAAGGGAGGAGATGGTGGAAGAGCATGAGAGGGTATGGGAGGAGATGGTGGAAGAGTGTGAGAGGGTAGGAGAGGGGATGGTGGAAAAGTGGGAGAGGGTAAGGGAGGAAATGGTGGAAGAGCATGAGACGGCAGGGGAGGGGATGGTGGAAGAGTGTGAGAGGGTAGGGGAGGGGGTGGTGGAAGAGTGTGAGAGTGTAGGGGAGGGGATGGTGAGAGGGTATGGGAGGAGATAGTGGAAGAGAATGAGAGGGTAAGGGAGGGGATTGTGGAAGAGCATGAGAGGGTAGGAGAGGGGATGGTGGAAAAGTGGGAGAGGGTAAGGGAGGAGATGGTGGAAGAGCATGAGACGGCAGGGGAGGGGATGGTGGAAGAGTGTGAGAGGGTAGGGAAGGAGATGGTGGAAGAGCATGAGAGGGTAGAGGGGGGATGTTGGAAGAAAAAGAGAGGGTAGTGGGGGGATGGTGGAAGAGCATGAGAGGGTAGGGGAGGGGATGATGGAAGAGCATGAGAGGGTAGGGGAGGTGATGGGGTAAGAGTGTGAGAGGGTAAGGGAGGAGATGGTGGAAGAGCATGAGACGGCAGGGGAGGGGATAGTCGAAGAGCTTGAGTGGGTATGGGAGGGGATGGTGGAAGAGAATGAAAGTGTAGAGGATGGTGGTGGAAGAGAATTAGAAGGCAGTGGGGGGTAAGGTGGGAGAGCCTGCCAGCGCAAGAGATGGGACGAAAGAAAGAAAGATAAAAAAAATAGCTTCATTTCTTGGTGTTTGGGCTATGAGCAATTAGCTTCAAGGCTGTAATATTTGGACAATGCAAGGTTCATGCCTTTGGCATGTCCTTTATTTAGAACAACAGCAGTAGTATTTTGCAAAGATTGATTTGTCAATAACAAAAGATATCTTCACTTCCCAATAAACCATTTTTATCATTTAAGAGGCATGCTGTCTCTACCTACACCCGCGTGGTTCCCGGGGCCCTGTCCAAGAGACAGGGGAGCAAAGAATAGGACCACTGTATCCGTACCGCGCATGTTGTAGAAAGCAACTAAGGTCAGTTGGGCAAAGCAGCCCTTTCCCGTAAAACAAAAAACAGCTACAAAAACATCAACAGCAAAAACAACACGACCGCAAGTTCAGAAACCTCGTGCTGACCGGAAGAACCACCAGACTTGGCACCTGGAATGCTCGTAAAATGTACGAGGCAGGGAAGGCTCTACAAGCTGAATGGAAAAGGCGGGGATATCATGGAAACAGCTAGAAATTGATGCACAGGACAGGGCTGGAAAAATGTTGATGGTCTATGCTCCACCAGGGAGTAAAAAAGGGCAAGAGAGAGAGAGAGAGAGAGAGAGAGAGAGAGAGAGAGAGAGAGAGAGAGAGAGAGAGAGAGAGAGAGAGAGGTCTCTACCCTGGGTATAAAAACAAACGTGAACGGAGCCGGACATTTGATTCATAGTATTTTTCTTTCAAACTTGGGAATTGAATTCTCATATATACAAAACAAAAACCCTAACCCCCAACATCTTACTTAAGGTGGATACGTCCTGAACATGGTGATCTTCTTCAGGGATGTGCAGGCAAACGGGCTCTGTGAATCTATCGATGAAGACAACTGATTCTTGAACATTTACACGGTTGAACTGTCCCGTAATTTGTATACAGTCAAACCTGCTCTAGTGACCACCTGCCCTAGACAATTCGCATGTACACACCACCACTTCTCAATTCCCCCATGAATATTTTAGATATTGTAATGCCACTGTCATAGAGGACCGCCTGTTTAGGCTAACCACTTTCCTCCTCGAAAATGGGTGGTCATCTTGAACAAGCACGACTATAGTAGTTGTTTATGTCTAGAAATGTCTGTATAATTACGTTAAATATTTCCTGGTCTGAGATCAGGAGTTTTATGGTATGTATTTGAAAACATTTTCAGAAAAAAATAGGAGGGAGAACGAAGAAAGTCTTTCCTTGAGTTTATATAACTTTAAAAAGACGTTTGAAATAAAGATAAATGCTTACACCTGCTCTAACAACTGGCTATGATGAATATGATCTTAATTCATTTCATCAACCATTTTTTTCTTTCATTTATTAAAGGCATGTAGGTGTATGGCCCCGTTTGACACCGAGAAATAAAATAAAGCGAAAGAAAGATTTGTAACTTTGCCCGTAACATCTCAAAGATGTTCCAGGAACATGGGGTTGTGTGCCCTCAGAGCATTATTGAATCCTTAGGGATGCCTTTAGCTAAATTAGTATCGTCGTGGGCTATGATCAAGGCAGTCTTGCTGTGTGTCACGAGTGATACATTCTTAAGCTTAGGCAGTGTGAGGTATTTTATTGGCCCAACTCTCATTTAGCTAAGTCGAACTGGAGATGGACTGCTATGCAGGTCGTTGGATAACTGAGTTGTTTCGAAAGGGACCTTTAAGCCCATACATGTGCCACACCATGACTGAAGGTCTCCTCGGAACTAAGTGGCTATGGTGAAGCTGGTGGAGGACGTGACGTAAATAGCTTCCCTTTCATCAAGATAGACAGGAACCAGGCCACACAGTACCTTTATAATTTTTGCCTTAAACAATTTGAGAGGACTGCAATGTTGGAGTAACAGCATTAATGCATAATATGGTCGTGCAAGTGATTTACTTTGTTTTGTGTTTTATTCTTGAGGAATTAAGTAAGTAAGAGGCCACAAGGATATTTTTTTTCCTTCAGTGAATTCATTGTTCTCCAGATGAACTTTAGGGTGCTAGCAAAAAATTATAAATGCACGGTGCACAAACGCGCAAGTAAGATTAGTTAAACAAATATGCACATACAAACACAGCACACACACACACACACACACACACATACGCACACACACACACACACACACACACACACACACACACACACACACACACACACACACACACACACACACACACACGAAAGCAATACACACGAGCCAATAAATTCATGCTCATAGACAAATACATTACTTTTGACAGCAGTTTTCAACTTGTCCAAGTCGCTCTTGGTATTAAAATGTGTACAGCGTTTGTGAAATTAATGATTATTATGTATAGGAGTAAATGCCCTTTGCAACAGTAGTATGCGGTTGCTTAAATGGGGGAACCTTCGAATGTAACGCCATCTCCCTTTAAAAAATGTATGTTTGGTGACCCCTGTCCTTTAATAAAAACTTTCTTCACACTGCTGTGAATTGCAGGGGTAGTTAAATATTAAGTAACTACATTAATGACACGGTGCGTGTTGTCAGCGCGAAATCTGGTTTTGACGAAATGTTGTAGGGGGACGAACCGTCGAAAGGATTTGGTCTCATGCTTGGTCCATAATACTCTCCCTTTAAGTGAAAGCGAGTTTGTTCGTTTGTTTGTTTGTTGTTGTTGTTTTGTTTTATTGTTGTTTTTTTAGGGGGCTGGGGTAATGATTTTGGCTAAATTAGTTGTTGTTGTTTTTTTTAATTAAAGCGAAAGCGTCATTAAGGGGTCTTGAAAAAGAAGTTTCTCTTTCCAACAAAAACAGTCTGGCATTTCAACTTATTTTTAAAGTTGCGATGTGCTAAGAACTGATGTTCGGCTTGTCAGAGGGCGCCACTGGTTGTTTTCTTGACCTACTCTGTTGTTTCTGTCTGGCTTATTCTGTCCCAGCACTAAATGACAGTCGTCTTGTCTGTGTGCTTGTCTTTTTTTATACAACAAATAGAAGAAAGGATGAAAACTGGTGTATATTTGGTGGATAGCAAGGTCGTTAACTAGAAATGTCCACAATATCTCAGGACAGCTATGTCATCCTGTCTCTCTTGAAGTTTTCTACGAAGATCCATTACCGTTCAAGCTTTGGTCGAACTGACAGAAAATGCCAGTGTGATATACCACTAGTTCCTAACAATAAGGGTTTTGGTACATTTTTATATTTCAATTTCCGTTTATAACCCCCCCCCCCCCCCCCACACACACACAAACAACCCCAATGCGATAAAGTTGTCTGCATCAGTTCGTATGCCACTCCTGGCGTGGATGAAGATCTGCTTCGCCTAACAGAGTTTTCCGTTTTTGTCAAAATTGCAAAAGTACGAAGAATAACATTACTCGCACTCCTTGATCTCTAGATACAATTAATGATTTAATTGTAGTAAAGTGCCAAAGTCACCATAGCCCCTTGAAAGTCGCGATTATCACTTCGGAAATTTTCTTGTAAGGTACAAGTTTTATGTGCAACTAAGAAAAGACTTTTTCCTGTTCGTTGCTATTTATTTATTTGACTTTGCATGAACACATTCTTTCATTGTTTATAGATTCAGTGATTTTCAAAGACGAGAGCAACCTTGGCTCCCCGTTCGAGTTGAGAAACCGAGATTCTCGTCAACTCGGAGTATCTTCAACCACGCCTCCATCTCCGGAAGCACGCCCTCTATCGTTCCGCTTCCGGGAGGTGACTTTGAGCGTGGTGCCCTAGGACGTAGGAGAATTGAGCTACGAGAAGATTCTACAACGGAACGTCCGAAGAAATTCCTTTCCTGGGAATTTTTCTCATTATGGCAAGTCGCTACCCTGGAATTACAAAGTTCTATCTGTCCAGTGCAGAGTTTTGAGAAATTTGACATAAAAAATTTTAAAGTTCACAACATGTCAAGCTTTTTAGGTTGCAATTCTTTTAATATCTTAATAACGACTCCGAATAATCTTACGATTTTAAAAGAACGGATAGAACATTTGGTTTCTGACGTCATGGTCTTAGTAACTCAAAGCGGACAAAAATATCAGATAGGACTTTGTAATTCTAAGGTAGCGAAGTGGCAACTTTTTATGAGATCCACATCAACAGTCCAGGCACACGTTGTGTGACAAAAGTCTACAGCCAGGAGCTGGGGAAAAGGGGGTTGGGAGAGGGGTAGGGGGTGATCTGTGTTTGGAAAAATCGAAATAGTCTACCCCTTGTCATTAGTATTTATAAGAATAAATGCATGATATATACTTTTTGTGGGCAGCAAAAACTTATGCAGGGATAAGAAGTCAAAGACTCAATAATGTTAGAGCGCCTGGGCAGCTGTTCTGACTAAATGCCCAATGTCGTGGGCGAAGTTTACAAGAACGTCCATGTCCATTTTTTCACGTTTTTTCTGTAACGGCACGTGCTTCTGGAGAGCTCACTAAAGGGAGGAGAAATGATACCAAAAATAATTGGCTTTAAAGCTCATTTCAACATGTGTCGCTTCAATATAATTTCCTCATTATTAAGGGTCCTATTGCTCCTCGAAGCAAACCTGTTTCGTTTGAAGCTCCCTTCCATTGTTCCCGTTTGGTAAGTTGCTGTGTGAACCGTCAAACCGTATCCGGACACACAAGACCGTTATTCGTTAATACATTTAAAAAATATTAATATTTATTAATTTCGACCCATGGATGAAAATAAACCACATACGGTAGATTTGTAGAACAGATGTCTAAGTGTGTTATTCCATCGTAAAAGTAGATGCGCGCCTCTTTTTGGGCTTACGAAACCTTTGCGAAATCTTTCAGTTTGGACAATTCGTGAGGCATGCATACATCAATGATCGCGAAAGAAAGCAGCAAAACAAAATATTATAATGTATGTCTGTTAGTAAAGTACAACTTCACAAAAAGGATCAACACGACACTGGGTCTTGCTCAGCACTTACGAACTGAATGATTTTTGGTTCTTTTATTCATGTCTCAATTTTCTTTGCTCAAAAGGATACATTTTACGCAGTAAAAATGTGTATAATATATGTAAAGATATTTAACTTGTAACAGTGCTTTATGCACACCGATTCTACATCTTTCTCAGAACACCATAATGTAGTTAAGACCAAAAACAGTTTTCTAACTACTTATGTTTAGATGCATTTCGTTTATTTTTGAAAGGCCATCACCATCATTCACTAATGTCTTTACGTTGTTTTCGTTGAAGGATAGTATCTTCCTTTTTTTTTAGAAGTTCAGGTAAAGGAGAAAAAAAATTATGTTATACTTTTAAAAAGTTATTTGCTTCTGCAGCCGTTGTATGGCTTTACAAATATTGCCATGACGTCAGCTTGGGCGACTTCACCGCTGGAAGACCATGTCATACGTCCGGTGCCACTGCTGTATAAGAACTGTGGGAAAGACGAATACTTTTCATACTGACATGGGGGCAGAGGGTTATCCATGGCCAGGAACCAACCATTATCAGCCAGACATCCCAGGTAGAGGTGGTTAATGAAGAAACGGCGCTTCCACAGGGTATCCCCAGCAATGGAGAAGAAGTTGGTGGTTTTTTCCTTCAGATCCTGCCACTTTCCAGCGTCCTTGAGATTGGCAGGGCTGAACCAGGACAGGTAGTCTGTGCCGGCGGCGTCAAAGGTCAAGGACTGTTTGAGAACACCACGCTCGTACAGAGCCACGACCACCTCTTCGATATTCTGCCAGTTGTTCAAAATGCCCGCATTACGGTAATGCCCGGAGCAAGGAAGTGATCCGTTCACCTGAGAAAAAAATTAATTTGATAGATAACTTGAATAACATTAATTTAAGTCAATGAGATGGCTGGAACATTGACTCTTGGAGAAGAACTACACTGCCTAACACTGGTTGACGACCAGAGTCTGTGGTGTACTGTTTAGGTTGTCTGTCGTGGCACGCAGAAGACGTGGTTCGAATGCCTGGTGTGTAAGTTATGAAGTCGAGTACCCTGTCTTCTGGCGGAGATGTTGTATCCTATTCATCCAGGTTTGGCCCTGTCGGACAAGGTCTAAACAGTCAGCCTCCTCTTCCTAAAAGATCAAAACTTGGTCGATTGGGGCATAAGATATTTACAATCGACCAAGGAGATCGAAGCATATTTTATTTTATTATAGTGTGGGCTCTTGTGAAAATCATAGTTATTTGATCTTGACTTATTTCGGCAGGCTTAAGTTGGTAAGATGGTTACGAACAAATATAAAATATCGACATGCAGGGACAATATCCGTCCCAACCTCCCACTTCTGACGTACCCTAATCACAAACAATGTATGTTTTTTAGGCAATTATACCTTACAACACTGACGGCTTTCAGCTTCGAGAAAATCGTAATGTCAACGACTCGTCATTATACTCAGAGAAGTTATAATATATGTTTAGAATAAGGTGATAACACCGTTCAATTAAATGAAGCCTTCAGGACAGACAACATCTGGTGCTGGTCCACTTGACGGTCTACCGTGATATTGCAGAATACCCTGGAGAGAGAAAACGTGGATGACAGTAGACTAGTAGACCGTCAAGGGAAACAGTTGTCAGACTGGATTGGTGGTAGAGCGATGGATAAGTAGAACGGACACAATGTGGTAGAACGTAAAGAGGACCGGCATCCAATATCTCACCTGTGTGCAGCACGGTTCAATGTTCCGCATTGGTTTCTTGCTGTAGTCTCCGATGTAAGCCTCATAGACGGAGGAGCCCACCCCAGCCGTTCCGCGGAACGCCAAGTAGTAATTGTCACCTTTCCCGAACACGTTAAACGGGCGGCCCCAGCCAGACTGCAGACAGACAAGAAAATTATAATAAATAAATGAAAAAAAAAATAAATGAATAAATAAATAAAGTGAAGCGTTAAGGAAAACAAGACAGAGCTCTGCCAAAGATGAAGTGGGAAGAAGCCGGTGGCGATGGAATGGACATACTTTCAGGAAGTCAGGCATAACAAAGAAAGTTTTGGATTGGAATCCACAGGGCAAAAGATCAATTTGAAGACCGCTTGGAACCTGGAAAAGAGTCACGGAAATTGATGAACAGAAAAGTGGGAAAACATGGATCAAAAGGCTTGCACAGGGAGAAAAGGGTGGAAAGTATTTGTCTGTGGTCTGTTTCCTGATCCAGGGTGAAATGAAATGATGACGATGAATATATGACTAAATCTGATTTTTTTAACCTAAAGGTTTGGAAATTGAATGATATGAAAACACCATTCTGACAACACTAAAAACAAAGTACAATTTAGACCATCTGTAGTCGTGAACTTTATGAGTGAGTCAAGGATGTGTTATGTCACCAGACCTCTTTAACATGTACAGTGAAACAACCCTTAGAAACATAGAAGAATGCCCAGGTCTCAAAGTCAAAGGTGAAAATATGAATAACATCAGACATACCGATGACACAGTTTTAATAGCAGACTCAGAAAGGGACCTTCAATCGCTTCTAGACACTGTTGTAACAGAAAGTGAACTTAAAGGATTAATCCTGAATGTAAAGAAAACAGAATGCATAGTAGTATCCAAAAAAGTAGCGAATCGTATTTGTCATCTCATTAGTAAATGTGAAAAGATCAAACAAGTCCAACACTTTAAATATCTAGGATATATTTTTCAAAAACATTTGATGCCAAATGTTCCACAGAAATAAAACGAAGAATTGATTGCAATGGCTAAGGCTAGTTTCAATAAAAATGAGCCCAATCCTGAAATGTAGAAACATCTCAATGACTGCCAAAATGAAAGTTCTTAAATGCTATGTATGGTCAACCTTTCTATATGGCTGTCATTTCTGGACAATCACTAAAGACAGTGAAAATAAAATAGAAGCAACAGAAACGTGGTTTTTTTAGGAGACTGCTGAGAATATGGTGGAAAGAAAAGAAATAAAATGAAGTAGTGCCCACGTGGGACGCTCACTGTTAAAAACAATCAGGAAACGACAAATGCAGTTTTTGGGACACCTGAACAGACATAAAGGTCTTGAACATCTAGCTCTCACTGGCAATATTGAAGGCAAACCAGGCAGGGGTGGGGCTAGAACAATATACTTAGGGAACCTAAACAAATAGGTAACGGAAACGTAGCTTTTTTAAGAGCATCCGAGCAAAGGAATGAATGGAGAACCATGATCGCCGATGTCTATCGCAGATATGGCACTGGATGATGAGTCGTGAACCTTAAAATGATAAGAATTAATTATTTGTGATATTCCATGCCTTTTTCGCCAGACCATTGTGAGAGAGGAGCTTAATATTGAAGGAAATATGTGGGGCAAGAGGGCCAGGGGTAAACAAAGAGTAACATGAATGGACAACATTAAAACATGGTTGGCCTGGGTATAGATGCCATTTAAGTACATCGATTCTACAACATTTTTCTCAATTTCCAATGCGGTGGTGTAGTTTGCTCCTTCTTTCCTATCAAACGCTTACCGTTGTTAACTCTCTTCATTCCTATATTATGTGTTTGTTGCTCTCTTTTAACACTTCTATCCTTCGCCACTCATATGATTAGTGGCATCGGTAGCCTAATAGTTAGGCTACCGGAATCGTAAACGTGAGGTTACAGGTTCGGGGGTTCGAGCCTCAGCTCGGTCCGACGTTGTGTCCTTGGGAAAGGCATTTTACACGAAATTCTCAGTTGGTTCGGTCCTTTCGGAGATGGACGTTAAACTCGGAGGTCCCGACTCTTAAATAACCTAATAGTGTTGATAGGGACGTTAAACCTCTACCCTTTCGCCATTTCACCCATATGACTTAATGCAAGTGCCGTTAGATGCGTACTGGAATCTCAATTCCCAGATCACACAGCTAACCCCCACTCACCCACCCCCGTGTTGTCGCTCACTCACCGCGGCCGAGCAGGAAGCACCACTGCCCCCAGCATTCTGTAAGCTGATCAAAGTTTCCAATTTTTTAGCAAGTCTGCCCTCTACCTGGGATACTTCTTGTGACACCACAGAGCGGAGAGAGCTTACTAGATTGTAACCTGGGGACAGAATAAATACATGTATTATGTGAGATATCGTGGTGAAATCAGGCGCTCGTCAAAATAATGAAATCTAAGAAACCGGCTTTTTCTCACCGGTTTGGCAATTTTATTTCAATTTTTGTTTTCGTTTTTTGGTTGTTTTGTTTTGTTATGTTTTGTTTTGCTCTTCAGACTTTATATCTACTTGAAAACACACTTTTGTGTTGATTTGACTAAAAAATGTAAATGTGAATATTCAGTTTCCACGGACTCTCAAGCTACGGAAGTCACAAAACTTGGGCGGCCAGTTTCTCGGTAGTCTTACCTCTGGAACCAGGTGACCCCCACCTCCTTCAACGGCATAAAATAATATATATCTTGACTTCTATTCAAGATAATATAATATAGGTATTTTTCTGTCATCGAAAGTAAGACAAATGGACAAGCCTTAAGATGATGCCAATAAGTTCACATGTCCAAAAACTGACGAGCGCCTGACTCCACCGCATCGTGACACATGGTGATTTGAATTAAATTAGTGATTGGGTTATAGGTCTTTGGTCCTCTGTTATTGTCGTAGGATAAAACTGTAATCACATTGTTGATGTCGCTGTCGTCTTCGTCGTCATCGATGTCGTAATTATCATAATTATCATTATTTCTTCCTCATTATTATCTCCTTCCATATCGTTCAAAATATATTTTGGACAGTAATGACGCAAAGACTATCCTCTTCACTTTATAAAAAGAAAAAAGAGTATCGAAAATACAGTTATGAGTGACCTCGACTGAAACCTCCAGCTTCGAAAATTTTAAGTTTAGTCGTCATCAAGATCCCTTTGTCTAATACTGCATTATAGTGCGTCAAATTTTGGATAGGGAGAGAGAGAGGGGGGGGAGCGAGACAGACAGACAGACAGACAGACAGACAGACAGAGAGAGAGAGAGAGAGAGAGAGAGAGAGAGATAAGACAAGATAAGATAAGATAAGATACATCTTTATTGTCCAGATCCTGGCACATTGGTTTGGTGTTCCACCACGAGT